GAGGGGACCATTGTAGCTAGAGCTTAAAGGCTGAGGGTTTTCTCTATAGAAACAGAAGATGATGTTTGAAGAAGAGGAAGTGGCTGCTGTACAGGCAAAACCATTCAATTTCATTATTTAATCTGTTAGTTTTTATTTCTAGGCATTTACCAAATGGCTGAATTGTTGGCACAGAGAAATGAAAGATAGCGCTTTTAAAGGATTGACTCATCCAAATGCTGAGAAAACCAACTAATAAATTGGTTTTTGCATTGTGAAAAAAATGTTCTAGGAAGGTGCAAAAAAAAAAAAACAGTAAAAGGTTCTTCACTTTGTATTTATGACTAAAGATTGGTTTGGTTTTAAGGCACTCATCCTTAGGGAATAAATTTCGAACAAGAGAGTAGAGAGTACAGTGTATGTACCCAGTTTTGGGGTTATTTTAACAGCAACAACAAAAAAATGTATTGAGCCCATGCTGTTTACAAGGACCCTGAGCTAGTACTTTAAATTCTTTATTCTGTTTAAGGAAAAAAAACCAAGTCCCTGTCCTTAAGGATCTGACCACCCATCTGGAAAGACAGAATTATATCCAAAGTTAGGGTTTTATTGAAATATTTAATAACTGGGCTTAGTTACCAAGCTATGAGAAAAGATGCCAGTTGTAATGTCCAAAAGGGCCATGCAGGTGCCCCTGAGCAGTGGGGTTACATCATACACATTGGGTGAGCACTCTATTGCCCATATTGATGGGAAGTCATTAGGTCAGCCCTGGGAGGTTAGAGATTCGGCCACAGGAATCTGGGGAGATCGCAATCCTGTTGGACAATCAGAATTTTATACTAGGCATTTCCTGATGCCCAAAGCTTCTTTATCTAAACTTTTTCTAAAATACTCAGAATGTTGTACTCCTTGTTGGAAGGTTATGCTATCACACCTCAAAATGTAATTTTTGCTACCTGGGTGTGTCCCATTTGGGTATGTTATAAAATTTTTGTTCAGCACACCTGACACTATTAGCATGGCCTCTAGTGGATAACAGTTGCATTTAGAAAATCTGAACAGCCATTTCTTCCTAAAGGGGTTACCTAACTGAGGAAAAATAGGACCCTAGTGTTCGTTATTTTAGAGGAAACATTTCATCTTCTACATCAACACACTCTACCTATCAAAGCATAGGTGTATCACGAAAAATTATCCTCTGAGTCAGGCTTTCTCAGTCTCTGCACTGTTGACATTTGGAGCCAGATAATTTTGTCTTGAGTATGGCATGATATTCAGCGGCATCCCTGGCTTCTACCCAGCAGATGCTTGTAGCACCCATCCCTGCAGTGTGATACACACAAATGTCTCCAGATATCACCAAATGGCCCAAGGGTCGTGGATGAGAGTATGGAGTAAATCATCACTGGTTGAGAACCACTAGTGTGAGTGACATTTGAGGGTCCCTGAGCCCTCTTCTGCCAGTGGCTGTCATAATCACTGGGTTATTTTTTTTTCCCCATGAGGCTGATCTGAGAATTACTCCGTTTTTGTTAACATAACCAATGTCCAGTGAGTCCTCTTCCCAGATAGTAGAGGCAGGATGGTGTGTTTTGCTTAGGCACTGGGGTTTTGGGAGCCTGGTTATGCCTGAATGTGACTAACAGATCTCCCCCCATTTAGGTTTGTGACCTTGGACAATTTATGTAAACCTCTCTGAGCCTCAGTTGTCTGTCTTACAAAATGAGGCTCTAAGTAGTAACTCCCCATAGGGTTGTTGGGCAGACTTTCAGGCACATGAGCATTTGGGGGATAGAAGGATGGCTGGATAGAAGATGGTCAGTTTGGCTTTCTAATAGCCCACGAGCCTGCAGAATTCTGTCTTTGTGGGACTCCAGAAGGCAAAACATATCCCCAGCTTAATCATGCGTACTAACAGTATATTCATCAAGTATAACTTTTTTAAAAAATGGAAAAAGAAATAGATCAGTAATATAGTGATTTGGTTTTGCTTCAAGTTACAGCAGGGGATCACCCAATATGAGTCATTGTTTGATGTACAGTCATACACTACAGCTGAGACTATCCCAAATTTAGTCATTTCCAGGTGAACTTGCAGTTAAATGATTAACCTATATTACAGTGCTATAAAAAAAAAAAGAGATTCTGATCATGCTTTTCCCATCCTTGCCTGGTGTTATACTTTTGGGTGACATCTAATTTTGAATTGTTAAGATTCAAAAGGCAGTTTGATTCTTTCTGTCCAAGGCTTTCCCTCATTCTCGTTTTCCCCTGGGAGGTCTCCCCTTGCCTGTGGCAGGTGCATACTCCTCAGCATTTTTGCACATGCCAGGGCACGTTCCTTTTCTGGGTACCCCAGGCAGGAGGGAGCTTGCTGCCCTGCGTCTTTCTGTGGGCGTGCCCTTGACCCGCCCCTCCCTCCTCCTCTGTGACCTCCATGATACAGGAACAGTGAACAGATTTCCTAGCCAGAGGGTGTATCAGGAAACCACCGATGAAATCAACAGAAATACAGCAGTTTTTACAGAAGCTGAAACTCATATAATCGGAAACCTGATGTGTCAACAGAAAAACTCAAGTTTCTGGGTCTCATCAGTGGAAAGACAGATGTGGGATCCAGGCAGCTGTTTCTTCTTCTGTTTCTGCTATTAAGTGGCTGTCTTCCATCCTCACAAAGACATGATAAAATTAGGGCATTGGACTGAGAGGCCTTCATAACAGTTACAACTAGCTTTATCACTTACTGAATGTTTATTCTACATCAGACCCTGGGCTAAGTGCTTCATAAACGTAACCTCACTGAATCCTTCCCAAAACCCTCGGAAGCAGGCATTGCTCCTTTTTTACAGATGAGAAAACTGAGACTCAGAAAAATTAAGCAACTTAGCCCCACCCCCCAAAAAGACAATTGCATTCCTGTTATATAACAGGAATGCAAACCCCTGGTACACTCTCCCATCCCCACTCTAGTGGCAACGGCCACCACGAAGTAAGTCTGTGTCATTCCAGTTCACTTACGCTATTATAGGCACACATATGAAATCACATTTTCCATAAACTTTTAAGATTGCAGGTAGAGAAACGGCTTTTTGCCTTTTAGACTTGAAGACTCAGTCTCATATCATTAACTTCTTATGCAAACCCAGTTGCTATCTAATTATTTCAAATTCTTTAAATCAACCGAAGCCCTTCACCCTTTTAGTAGGGTTTTCGCTTGCAGGGAGCATGTTTGTTCTCAATGCAGGGACTCGCTGAATGGAGGCAAAAGCGCTAGTATTTCACATTTGTAAGTGATAAGAGGGGGAGGTGGTGGCTTTCAGAGATCATGTTTCAAGTCCAGCCCTGGTTTTTATGTGTGTGGGAATGGACGCAAAGAAAAACACAGCTGAGCTGCATTGTGGCTCTTCCTGTAGAACCTGTTCATGCCCAGGGTGAGTAAACCCGGAGTGGAAATATCTCCCTGAGACAGCCTCCCGAGAAATTTGTGCCTGGATTCAAAGCAGCTTACTCCCCAGGAGGTATCATCGGGATCCACGCTACACCCCAGTTAAAAGAATGTGTCTCCCTTCTGGGAAGATCGGCCAGTGAGCACTTTGCCCTCTATCTCCCCGATCAGAGGAAGGAGTGGAACTGGGGAGGTGTCACTCGCTGGAGTTGCTGATGTCAGTGGCGTGTCAGCCGTGGGAGGCTCTGTTTGTGAAATTGAGTTACACCTAGATGTCTCATGAAACTCCGTTCAGAACTCACCGGAGCTACTGTCTGGGAGCAGGGAGGTAGAGCCAACCTTGGGGGTTTTCCCTCACATTTCTGTCCCACTTTTGGAATTCCTGGATTAAAAGAAATGAAAGCGTCCAGCCTTCGGACATTTTAGGAAATGGGTATGTAGCTTTAAGCCTCACTAATAGCTCTCTCCACCTGGGTGATCGTTGTAGCTACACTGCGTGTTCTCTTACTGTGTTTGGGATTGGGGGGTCCAGCCTGAATGCTTTTGTCTCCTAGTGACGTGTGCATAGGAACTTGAAGTTCATGCTGTTCCTTTACATGAGGTTCACGTGGTCGTGAACAGTCTTGGTGCCTGTGCTTTAGGAGATGGTTCTGCTGCTGGTGCTTTGCTTTGCAAAATCCTCCCCTAAGATTCTCTGAGCATAGTTTCAGACTCCAGCCAAAGTCTAATAATCATCAATAGTGGGACAGGTTGCACTGGGAAGTCCAAGTTGAAAGGAAAAGCTGAGGCTCAGGCCGGTACAAGGGGGCTGGGAGTGAGCCCAGAAAATACAGCAGGGCACTCCTTCTCATGAATGGGGCACCTTTCACAAATTATTTGATTTTCAAATGTTGCTTATAAGTTCCCTTTCTCCCAACCCATCGGCAAATGACACCGAGTGCAGCATTAGAATGTCAGCAGCGGGAATAGAGAAGGGGGCTCTATTTACAAAAACTGGAGGCCCTAGCACAGAAACCAAGAGGGCAACCCTACATTTACCTGCACCCCCACCTCTGCTCCAACTCCTGGCGCTCGGGTTCTGTCGCGTTTCGGGGAACTCCTGTAGGCGGGAAACTGGCCTCACAGAGAATCACTCCTGCTTGGGGTTCCATTTTACTTTCACTTTGCATTCTTTTGAAATTTCATCTGTGGTTCTACTGAAACATCCCTTTGAATATCTTTCCACTTAAATGTGAAGTCAACATCTTTGATCAGAAAGCATGTGCTTACTGGAATCTGTGAGGATTTCCTCACTATTTATTTAGTTGAGTCAGAGGAAAAATAGTGTGCATGTTCCCCACACTTGCCTGGTGTTATCGTTCAGGGAAGAGTTACTAGTGAGGTGAAGATTACTGTCAGAGAAAGGAATGGAATGGTCTCAGGTTGTTGATTCATAAAAAGACTGCATCACGTATTCGTGCTTTGCTTCAGAGTATACCTTCTTGATTATTTGATGATTGAGCAGAGTTCTAGATTTCATAAAAATGGGCATTGATTAAAGCTGTGCGTCTTTTCTGTTTTCTTAATTTCTTAGTTATTCCAATGGAAACAGCTGGAGAACTTATACTTCCGTGAGAAAAAATTCGCTGTTGAAGTTCACGATCCACGGAGGTGAGGATAACGGCCTTTTCTGTGTATGGTCCTGGAGACTATCCGCATAACATTGCTGCTAGGAACATTCATGTGCAAGTCTTTGTGCAGACACATTTTCATTTCTCCTGGATGTACCTGGGAGGAGAATTGCCAGGTCCAATGTTAACGCTTTAACCTTTTGAGGTACTGTCACAGTTTTTCCCCTTAGCTCCACCATTCTGCATTCCCACGAGCAATGTATTTGGTTCCATTTTCTCCACCTCTTTCCTAACACTTGTTATTTTTAGTTGTGTTTTTGTTGTTTTTTAAATAGCCATCCTGGTGTACACGATAGCCCATTTTTGGTTTTGACTTGCATTTCCCTCATGACTAATGATGGCTAAGCATCTTTTCATGTGCTCCTTGGCCACTTGCATATTTTCTCTAGAGAAATATCTGTTCAAATCCTTTGCTCATATTTTAATTTGGTATTCCTGGTCACATTATTTTTTTTTTTTAGATTTTTTATTTATTTATTCATGAGAGACATAGATCTGTCTCTCATGACACAGGCAGAAGGAGAAGCAGGCTCCACGCTGAGAGCCCGACATGGGACTCAATCCCAGGACCCCAGGATCACGCCCTGGGCCAAAGGCAGGAGCTAAACTGCTGAGCCACCCAGGGATCCCCACATTATTTTTTTTTTTAAGATTTTATTTATTTGAGAGAGAAAGAAGTGCATGAGTGGGGGGGGGGTGGAGCAGGGGGAGAGGGAGAAGCAGACTCCCCACTCAGCAGGGAGCCCGATGCGGGGCTCCCACCCTTGAGGATCATGACCTGAGCTGAAGGCAGATGCTTAGCTGACTGAGCCACCCAGGCGCCCCCCTGGTCACTTTTAAAACAACAGTTGCCATGTTATCAACAGAGACTGAAGTCAGGATTGTAGGCTCTCCGAGCTATTCAGAGGAATTCATTATCAGTCCTCAGTGTTTGCCTTTCAGGTACATTTATGGATGTTTGGAGATCAGAGGGATGAGGGAAACAGCTATAACAAAAAGATGGCCAAGAGATAAGCCAAATTCCTACGAAGAACATTGGTACTCTTCTCCTTCCTTCCCCACAGCGTCTGCCTGCCCGCCCCCACTTCCTTCTCCGTTTACCCTCTCTTCTTCTGACCTGCTCCCCTCTTTTTATCTGGTGCATAAGAAGTACACTGGACTGCCTTCAGACTTGCATTATCTGTAGACACTATCATGTTCATCCTCTGATACTGTCAGAGCTGCACAAGTCTACCTAGATCTGAGATGCTCTTTTACCTTCAGGAAGGTGGTGATCCTGCCCTTTTGGTTGTTTTCTCTTTGAAATATTATCACATTGATTCCAGATCTATTGTGGTGGTCACATGTCCTGTGGTTTTTGAGTAAATGTTTTTACTACTACCCCTAATTTGAGGAGCTCTTATCGCTTTTATGTGTGTGCCTTTTTAGCACATGCTAGTTTTACAAAAAAAAAAAAAAAAAGAGAGAGAGAGAGAGAGAGATTATCCAGGTGCAACTGTTTTTTTCATAAAAGGAGGAAATGAGGGGCACCTGGGTGGCTCAGTGGTCGAGCATCTGCCTTTGGCTCAGGTCATGATCCCGAGGTCCTGGGATCGAGTCCTCCATCAGGCTGCCTACAGGGAGCCTGCTTCTCCCTCTGCCTATGTCTCTGCCTCCATCTCTGTGTCTCTCATGAGTAAATAAATAAAATCTAAAAAAAGAAAAAAAAAAGGAGAAAATAAGAAGCTTGGACCCTGTCGGCATCAGAGTGTGGCAGCAGAGAAACAATTAGGAAGATACTTCATGATAACAGTCCTCACTGGATATGTTGTGTGTTGTGCTGGGACTAGAGATGAATACATCAAAAGCTTTCCTTAATCTTTCAGGATTTCTGTGTCAAGAAGAACCTTTGGGCAAAGTGGCCTCTTTGTGCAAACGTGGTATGCAAACCCTTCTCTCATCAAGTCCATCTGGGTAATGGCAATTAGTCAGCATCAGTTTTACTTGGACCGGAAGCAAAGCAAAGTAAGTAACAAGAGCACTTCTATAGGAACAGACTTCCCTCCCTCATTTGCTTTCTGTTCAGAAGTTAAATTTTCTCAGAAAAGATACAAGCGCATGGGTTTTTGTTCTTTGAGTTTTGGGTTTTTAAACTTTCCGACTGCTGTTTTAATTTTTCTTACTCTTAAAAGGGGAGCAGTATAATATGATCTGATTTAAAAGTTATAAGACATGCCAACTTTTTGGCATGTGTGTACATATTCACAGGTGACATTTTGAAGTTAATAGTTGGACTATACCATGAGGGAGATTCATGCGTATTTAAACATTTTCCATAGAAAACTTAAGTCTTACTTTATTTCCTTCTGAAGTGTCACTTGAGCATGTAAAAATTCTAACTTGTCCTCCGTGTTGACAGACTTACTCCATAGTAACTTAATTGCTTTATTAATTTGAAATAGGTGTAGTTGAGTGAATTCTGTTTCGCTGTCGTACCTCTTAGGCAAAAATTCCTTCAGCCAGGAGTTTAGATGATATCGCGATGGATTTGACTGAGACAGGAACACCAAGGGTCTCCAAAATGGTGACACTGGAGGCAAAAAGTCAGTTCATCATGGCGAGCAATGGCAGTTTAATCTCTTCAGGTAACGTTTTGGGAATGTACAAGTGATCTTTATTTCACTTCTTCTTTGTCCTAACCTACTTTTTGGGGGTCATTAACCACTTTTAAATACATTTAAGCCCATTAATTTGGGAATAAATAAGCCTATCAAAACCAGCAGCATGTAACAAAAACCAATATTTTAAAAGGTAAAAAGAAAGTTAAATTATAAATAGTTTGTATAAACAACAGTACAAAGACAGTAAAACTCCTCAGGGTAACTTGAAAGGACACTTTCTCCCCATCTCTTCCATCAACTTCTTCTCCTAATATTTAGTTTTTGATTCAGACAGTTGTCTAATTCCCTATTTAATATATAGTTAAACATGATTACAAGCTTCAAACCTCACCCCAACCTTACCTCCCAGTGTGATTACTGCCCCAAACCCTTCCTCTATAGAAATTCTGGAATCTCTTTATCACCAAGTATATGTAACTTAACTCAAATGAATTTTCCCATCTAAGTCCTATTGTCAACTTAATCTGAGGCACAGAACATTCCTTTTGCCTTGCTTCCTTGCTTTCTACAAGGACATTCTAAATAACCATCGCAAGAAACATCTTACCTTCTCTCCTGCTCAGAAAAATGAAATCCTTCATTAAGCATTTTATCATTGCTTCTAAAATGACTGAGTCAAAATACAGAAGGTATATATAATTACCAGGCTCTGTTGGATGCCCAGAAGCATGAGAAAATGTTCTCCAGTTTCCTTTTATTATGTTCAGAAACAAGGAGAAAAATAAATTATTATTTAATAGCAGATTTGGCTTAAAAATCCTTTGTCCTTTAAAAAGGAAGGAAACATGCATTGTATAAACCTTCCCTACCCTCCCATCCAATCCCTTTAGGTTCTCAAGACTCAGAAGTTAGTGAGGAGCAAAAGAGAGAGAAAATCCTAGAGCTCAAGAAGAAGGAAAAGCTCTTGCAAGAAAAACTCCTGAAAAAAGTCGAGGAGCTTAAGAAGATCTGTTTGCGGGAGGCTGTGAGTGTCTTCTGCTTTTGGGGACTCTTCAAATTGTGTTTGACAACCTATGCCAGTGTCAGTTATCCCCCCTCTTGATTCTGTCCTGTTTTACAGGAGCTCACAGGCAAAATGCCAAAGGAATATCCGCTGAACGTAGGTGAGAAACCGCCTCAGGTCAGAAGGCGTGTAGGCACCGCATTCAAACTGGATGACAACCTACTGCCCAGTGAAGAGGTATGAGCACCAGCATTTCGATTAACAGGACAGAAAAGCTGTCAGCTGAATGTGACTGACTCCTCCCTTTGGTTTTTGAGTCCTGTTGTACATTTCTATCTCACCACTTAAGAGTGCTATAATAGTCCAAACAATTCTTTCTTCCAGGCACAGCCCAATTACAGTTGAGTTATTTCTCACTACTTTACTCCTCCAAATACAGAGAGCATTAAACAAATCCCAAATGTTTGTAAATTGAGAAACATTACCATAAGAATTAACTCCAGTATTAGACACTTCCACGTAAAACAAAGAAGCTTTGACAAATAAGATTGCCCTTTCTGATGGGTCATTTCTCGGGTCCCAGTTCCCCTATCCATGAAGATAATCCTCATTTTTCCTGCTAGGGGACACAAGTAGTAAATGATATAATACATGTGCAGCATTCAGGTATAATAAAGTCCTAATATAGAGTGTACTTTGTCATTTGCCTGTCATCACATAGTAGGGCCCTAGTCGTGTTTATTGCCCAAATTTATCCATCTTGGCTGTAGAAAACCATAGCAATTTCCATCCATAATAGAGTGAGGTTCACAATTTTTTAAAATATTTGTTTATTTACTTTAAAGAGAGAACACACACTCAGGAGTGGGGGGAGGGGCAGAAGGAGAGGGAGAGAATCTCAAGCAGACTCCCCACTGAGCATGGAGCCAGACACAGGGCTTGATCCCACAACCCTGAGACCATGACCTGAGCCTAAATCAAGAGTCGTACCTCAACTGATTGAGCCATACAGGCACCCCTGAGCTTTGAAATTTATTGAGTATACCCAGTCCTGAGCTAAGCAATGCGCATATATTATCTCATTTAATCTTTGCCATATTTTTTCAAGGTAGATGTTCTCTCTCCATTTGAAATGGAGATGCAAAATGAAAAAAGCCTGCAGCATTAAAAAATTAAACAGTGTTTCCAGGGTCATGAAGCAGAAACCACCAGAAAGAGAAATCAAATCCAAATGTATTTGTCACTAAAGCTATGTATGTGAATATAACCTTCTGTGTCTGTGAATTTGGGGTTAAGAATCTCTCCTTGAAAAATATAATCTTCACCTAACCAACTACATGAATGAAAGGCCATTGCCTTCTTTAAGAGGAAAAAAGTTGGATTAGTGAGAAAGTTTAAATAAATGGATGAGAGAGGTCTTATTTTCTAGAAAAGTGTTTGGAGATATCTATGCAGTAAACTTAAGAAGGTTTTATTCTCAAAGAGCATCTGATTTGAGAATGTACAAGAAACAGTATCATTGTATAAATGCAGGATCCTGCTTTGCAAGAACTGGAGAGCAATTTCCTAATACAGCAAAAGCTGGTTGAAGCTGCAAAGAAGCTTGCCAATGAGCCAGACCTTTGTAAAACCGTGAAGAAAAAACGAAAGCAAGATTACACGGATGCAGTGAAAAAGCTTCAGGAGATTGAAAACTCGATAAATGAATACCGAATCAGATGTGGAAAGAAACCCAGCCAGAAAGCAACAGTTATTTTACCAGGTTCGTAATAAGTAAGGTTTTTCAAGTAACACAGTCAGTTTTCTTGATGATATGTAGCATTTCCAAATCAGTTCATTTGGTGAGAGATAAAAGAAAGAACAGATTTAAAAGTAAGTTCCTTAGGGGAAAAATGATTTGGAATGTCAGTCTTGCAAGTGTGTAAATTTGGTTTTCAGTGACATTCTCATTATTTTTATACTATACTATTGCTTTGCCTTCATTTTTAGGATGAAAGAGCATTAGTAGCAATATTGATTCATGATAAGACAAATCCACCTTTAACTGGCTTGATATCATCACAGGAAACATAGTTGACAGCACAGGGTAGTATGGGAGCTGGGCCAACCCAGTCACTCCTCAAAGGTTTTTAATGCAGGGACCGTACATTTTTTTAAGGACCTACCTAACATTTGTGAAAAGAGCTCTCACAATTCCTGTCATTTGTGGAGGCTATTTAAAGCTGTGGACAAATGTTTGTGATAGAATATGAAATGCACAAAGCAGGACATTATGTTGTAACCACAACATAATCCTGACATCATATAAATATCCACATACAACAACTGGTTGGGAAATATTTCAAAGCACAATTGTGGAATTTCAAGTAACTTATTTTTCTTTTAATACTTCTCTATATTTTTAAAATTCTCAACATTATATACCTAAGACTTTCATATTCAGGAAAAATGTACACTGAAAATCTCATTTAGGTAGATTTCAAGTCCAGTTGGCCTTACCTTATCAGCATGGTTTTCAGCTTTTATCACTGGTTGAAATATGACTATATTTCTTTGATTCCAAGACTGGTTTTTTTTTTTTTCACATTTAAACATCTGTGAAATTTGAATAATTCTTAAACTAGATGGTGTATTGCAGTTACAATTGGCAATACTTTTTCTTTTTTTATTGAGACATAAAACAATTATATATGTCAGATTGGATAAAATGTGGTGACTAGGTTTAGAGTCTACTCGGATTTAGGGCGGTATGGTTTATACAGCAGAGATATGGCTTTTGGAAAGTGAATGCACAGACATCAACACACAAGTGTTCATCAGCTACAGCTGGAGAATTTAGGATGGCTTTGACTCCGAATGAGAAATCCAGTTGGCCTTGGAGGTGGTTACATTCTGGACCTGCAGAAATGGGTGATTAGCAGTGTACTTAACTTTCATAACCATTTGTTGTGGCCCATTCATCCCCAAACTGTGCAAGATTTGAGCGATCTCCCTTACAATGAGTGACATTTGGGCAGCAGATGGTGCCAATGGTTGAGCATATATTGGGTAGATTTTTTTTAAGTGTGCCTGACAGCTGACTACACTGGCACCTTGCCTTCAAACTCTACTGTGTGTCCAATTAAGAGATAGTCTGCCCAGCTCTGATGGAGATTAACATTTGAGATCAGATGGGAGAGATTTCCTTCATGATGGCATTGAAACCTACACTAAGGTGCTATATTTGCCTATAACCTTGCCAGGACTTGCCCCTGTGTATGGAATGATTGACCAAGGTAAATCAACACATCTGAGATGACTCCTATTACTAAATACATTTTTTAACATTTGATGGGCAACTTAGGAATACTTAGGAATATTATGGGTATTTCCAACCAGCAGAATGCTGTGTCTAGGTAATAAAAGTAATAAGTATAGCTAATTTTTATTGAGCATTTGTCCTGTACAAGGAACTGGGCTAAGAGCTTTACATTCATTATTTTAATTACTGCTCACCTTAGCACTGCATACTACGTACTACTCTTATTCCCATTGTAGTTGAGCCAAGTGATGCTAAGAGGGGTTAAGTCATTTGCCCAAGATCTTACAGCTAGTAAGTGACAGAACCAAGATATGAATCCAGGTCTGTCTAATTCAGTGGTTCTCAACCAGGAGCAATTTTGCACCCCAGGGAACATTTGGCAACATCTACAGACATTTTTGGTTGTCAAAACTGAGCATGGCAGTGCTGCTGTTAGGTGAAGGCTGGAGATCCTACAATTCAAAGGACAGCTCTCCCCAGTGAAGAATTATCCAATCCAAAACGTCAGTAGTACCATGTGAGAAACCCAGGTCTAATTGAAAAGCTCGTCCACCACAAAGTGTTCACCTATTAAGAAAGTCCCTTTTCTTCAGGGAGGGGCCAAAAAATAACTTAAACTAACAGATTTTCAAATGAGGGTTCAAGTGTATTTTAACATTTAGCATTTATGACATGAGTGGCATGATTTTTCTTTCCTGTTTACTGGTTGTGCGCCCTCAATGTATAAGGTAAAGTTTTCATCCTATGTAGAAGCTAGATTGAAAACTAGTTGAAAATAAAAATTTCCTTGAAATCTGTTCCATTTTTAAAAGATTTTATTTGTTTATTTGTTTATATCTTTACTAGTAAATGATTCCATTGTTACAATCATTAATAATTCTTAATGCACTGTAATTAGTTAATACTTACTAAATAAAAATAAAGATGCACTCCATTGAGAATTGCTGTATTAAACTAACTGTAGGTGTATAAATGTCCCATTATTCTAAAGGCACATATTTTTATTCACAGAAGACATAATCCCCTCAGAGAGCAGCTCCTTGTCTGACACTACCACCTATGATGATTGTAAGTAGCTCTTCTTTTTCATTTCAAAATGTTATATATTCTGAAATAATATTAAGACATTTTCCTTAAGTAACGCCTACTTTTGGGAAAAGTAGAATGAACTAACTTACGCTTATGCAGAATGGTTGGGGAAAGGAGATTATGATTAACTTCCATCCAGGTTAACTCATAATCAAATACAGCACCATACAAATCACGTGACCTCAGGAAATCAGAATACTACTACATGACTGAGCAGCCTCTCAGTAAGGGTTTGTGAGGCTTTGTAGAATTTTTTTAATAGCATTTTTTTTCTTATTTATTTATTTTTTAGTTTTAAGTAAGCTCCACACTCAATGTGGGGCTTGAACTCATAATCCTAAAATCAACAGTTGCATGCTTCCCTGACTGAGCCAGCCAGGCGCCCTTCTGGAGGATTTTTTTAACATTTTATCTTGAAGTGATTACACATTCACAGGGAGTTGCATAAATAATACGAGTTTTTCACTCAGCTTTTCCCAGTGGTGACATCTTACATATTTGGAGTCTAATCTCAAACCAGGAAACAGTGTAGACTTTAATTATCCCTGGATAGCTAGGAGTTTGTTTTCCTCAGGAAGAAATTGGGTTACATGTCATTGTAATGGTTTCATAGAGGAAGACCTTATCTGTTGTGATGGCCTTTGTTTGTTCAACACATTTATGATGGAATGGACTTCATATTGAGTGGTAGAGTACTTCCTTGTAATCCCTTGTCCTTAAGCAGAAGAGTAGCTATCTGTCTAATATGATTTAAGGAATTCCAGGAAGCCACTAACCCATACTGCTTTATCTCCCTCATCCCCACCCCACCCCATGTTTTATGGTGCATGAAACTCCACCATTCCAAAATTATTCCTTTGAGCTGAAGTTGGGTCATGCTTACTTTTCCTCTTTGAAAATGCAAATGCAGCAGGAGACATAACAAGTCTCTAATGACTCAGCATAAATCAGTTATATCATGTTCAGTGACAAAATGAGTGTCTGGTCACCTAAAGAGGCCTGACAACTTGAAAGGTGAACAAAAGTGATCCATGCCAACTTTACAGGCCAGCTTCCTTTTGGCCTTTTACACACTGGGGCTTTTCTTTTAATGTGACTCTAGAAAACCTATAGTAGCACCCATTTCACCTGAGTGATTTATAGCTTATTTGCTCAGAGTGGTACCTACTGAACTGGAAAAAATTGGCTCAGGCCCCACATCCTTAAACAATGTGGGAGTTAGGGGTGGCCGCATCTCCCAGAGTCAAATCTGAGTATAACTTTTGATTCCCCCAGAACTAAACTACTAGTAGCATACTACTGGCAGAAACTTTAACTTAAATAATCAATTAATACATATTTGCAAGTTAAATGTATTATATACTGTATTCTTACTGTCAAGTAAGCTATAGAAAAGAAAATGTTATTAGAAAATCATAAGGAAGGGGTGCCTGAGTGGCTCAATCAGTTAAGTGTCTGCCTTTGGCTCAGGTCATGATCCCAGGGTCCTGGGATCCAGCCCCACACAGAGCTCCCTGCTCAGCAGACAGTCTGCTTCTACCTCTCCATCTTTCCCTCTCATGCCCCCCCTTATGTGGTCTCTCTCTCTCAAATAAAAAATAAATAAAATCTTTTTTAAAAAATCATAAGGAGGAGAAAATGCATTTAGTGTACTATATTTATATTTTTTAAAATTCGTAAAAAAAAAATCGTATATAAGTGGACCCACACAGTTCAAACCTGTGTTGTTCAAGGGTCAACTGTATCCAGTAATTTGTGTTTTCTAAGTCTATAAAACATAAAAATAAATTTCTTGAAAGTAATATACCTCTAAAAATACCGTCTCTGGTAAAGCACTTTGTTCACCAGCTCTTTTGATTTGTTTTTTGGAGTGCTGGCAGAGTATTTGTTAACTTATTTATTTACTTACCTACTTATTCATTCATTCATTTACTTTTTATAGCCAATGACACCTTCACTCTTGCTGGGCAGCGACCAAGTTCAGTACCTCATTCTCCAAGAATTCTTCCGCCTAAGTCTCTCGGTATTGAACGAATCCATTTCAGAAAGTCATCCGTCAATGAACAGTTTGTGGATACCAGGCAGTCCAGGTGAGAAGTCACATCATCAATAAGGCAGATGCCTCCCAGCCATGACACCTTTCCTCCAAAATGGTTGACTTTTTTTTGGCATTATCCTATTTTTCCTTTCAGAAGGAGTTATCTTGTAAAACCGAAGCATAGAAACTAACCCTTGTTATTTGTAGTTGATGACAAGTGCAAGTGTTTCTAAGAGATCTTTTCAAAGCATTCAGCAGTGTCCTATATTTTAAAGTCTGTTGGATTTATGTTAGGTTCTAGGAGCATTATTTATAATCTGGATTTGGATATGATGCCCAAAGTTCAATTTCATAACCCATGCTCTCAGAAAACTATTCTTAAAACAACTCTGTCAGTGCAAGTGACAGAAATGACTTCTGATCTTTCAAATGAGACTTCAACTCAGTTTCAATCTGTAAAATAGATAATATGACTTTTTTTCTCAAATGTCTCAGGTAAATGTTATCCAAGCAATAACACCAGATCTTAAAAAGATGACAGACCCGTGATTCTCAGAATTTGGCTGCATGGATACTACTTAAAAAAAAAAAAAAAAAAAAAAGACCCAAGATAGGATTGCCAAATGTTTGCTCTATGTAATCAGAATGCTCAAATAAACAATACCGTGATTTCATGAAAAAAATGACATGTAAATATCAAAAATACAGTCCTTGTCATAATAATAAAATGAAGTTAACATTTATTGAATGCTAATTATATGTCAGACGCTATTCAAAGTGCTTTAATATGTATTGACAAATTTAATCTGTACCACAATCCTAGGAGTCTGATAACTACAACTGTCGTTACCATTTAGAGATAAGTACACTGAGGACCAGAAAGCTTGAATAACCTGTTAGGTTCATATGAATGTTAGAATCGGGATTTGAACCTACATAGCCAGACTCCAAAGCCTATATTGTGATTTTTACCAATATGTCATATTTCATCTCAGCAAAGGTAAAAATTAGCCTTAAAATAAAGGAAGATTATTTAGATTAAATAATTCTTCACATACAAAAAATACAACTAGCACTTTGTTATATTCCTCATTTGTCAAAGACCAATGACAACTTTTATTACATATCAGCTTCAGTTGTTAGATTAGGATTTAGAACTGTTGCCTTAAACAATGGCAATCCAAGTGTCTAGAGCTGTGCCAGCCAGGTCAGTTAAAAGTAAATAAAATTAAAAATTCATTTCCTTAATCATGTTAGCCACATTTCAAGTGCTAATGGGCACATGTGGGCTAATGGGTGTAATATTGGCACAGATATAGCACATTTCCATCATTGGACAGCCCTGGACAAGTATATTTATTATATTTGGGAAAATAAAACTATTGCAGCAGAAGGAAAAATTATAACTGGAAATCATTATCTTAAAAATTATTATACCTACTTCCTTAATAGCTAAAGATGGGTTTGCTCTTCGATCCAACAATTTCACTTAGAGGACTTTTTCCTATTGAATTAATTAACTACAGGATGTTCATCATAGCATTGCTTACAATAGTGACAAAATGAAAATAACCCAAATGCTCAACTAGTGGATTGCTTAAATAAATCATAAGTCCTTATAATGAAATGCTATGCTGTCATTAAAATAACTTTGTAGATGAGTATTAACCAACACAAAACATTAGGTATAGTTTTTTTAAATATGAGTTTTGAAAGAGAATATAGGGTAAGATCTTATTCTTTTGTTGTTAAAAACTATAAATGCTTATAAGTAAATATGCTTAGTAAAAACATCTGAAAATACTCGGTGTCGACTGCTTGTATCTGAGGTTTCAGATTATAGACTTTAAAATTTTTCTTTTTTATCTGCACTTCTGAAATTTTCTGCAGGGGACTTGACATGCTTCTGTAATAAGTAAAAATGTAATCAGAATCACATTTAATTAAAAAATTAACTTTAAACTGTGTTCTCACTCACTGGGTAAGTGCTGGGTAGCCAACAACAATCGGTGATTTGCAGAACTCACAGGCCTGCAAGCAGTAACCCACTGGCCAAATCCATTGTGCAACTTATTTTCCTATGGCCCATGAGCTAAGAATGGGTTTTATGTTTTTAAATAGTTGGAGGTGAAATCAGAAGCAATAATATTTTGTGATGTGAAAAATTATATATTTTACTTTCATAGCCACAGTCAAGCTTTATTGGTACACAGCCACCCCCATTCACTTACATGTTGTCTACACTGCTTTTGTACTTTAGGGATAGAGTAGAGCAGTCAAGATAGGGCCATCTGTCCGGCAAAGCCAAAAATATTTACTATTAAACTCTATAGAAAAAGGCTTTACCAACTCTGCTCTAGTTACTTTCAATCTCTTTTATTCAGTATACTCTTTTTAAATTTTTTTAAAAATTTTTTCCTTCATATTTATGATTCAGCAAGATCACTTGTGTTTCCCCTAAAACTCATGTAGGTCATACGAGGATACTTAACCACAAAGACACCCTTCCCAGTTTTCTCCTATGTCTTTTCCTTTGGTTTCCAGTAAATTTCAAGTTTCAATTTCAAACTTTTTATGACAAGTTTGCCAGAGATGCTGGGAGGCTCATCACCTTCTAAATTCTTCTTTTTACCCTCACAGGGAAATGCTGTCGACACACAGCAGCCCTTACAAAACCCTGGATCGGCGGCCCCAGGGCGGACGGAGCATGCCCACCACTCCAGTTCTTACCCGCAACGCCTACAGCAGCAGCCACTTGGAGTAAGAGCGCTTCCTTCCAGTTACTTCAACTCTGTTGATTTTTGCTTCAAGGTTTCACTCTACTTTGTTGTGTGTTTTAATCATTTTAAGGGTCCTTACCCAACAGGACTACGTTACGAATCTGTGTTTTCTACTTAATGGTTCAACTGCATTGGCAATGAAAACATACCTAAAAATATACTTTGCTGGGTAGATATGAGATTTTTGGGGTTGTGTGCCTTAATTTTCCCAACCAGACATCATCATTTGTTATTTGGTGGTGAGGGCGAAGATAATGACACTAGCAACATTTTGAAGTGTTTGGGGAGGGTTTTGCTAGCTCTTTTTTTATACCTGATATGATTCAGTCTGCACAACGAGCCTAACTGTAGATCCCAGATCCTGTTTTACCTCCTCACCTTACAGAGGAGGAAGCAAGACTGAAGTTAAATGTCTTACCCAAGCTTGCATAGCTGGGGGACAGCAGAGCCATGACTCAACCCGAGTATATCGGGGGTCAGAGCCAGGCTCTCCTGCATGTGATGCTGCCTCCACCTATTCTGTTTCCTGCTCTCCTGCTCTCCTGTTGGGAGAGAGGAACCTCCAAAGATGAGTTGGACTTTTTTTTTTTTTTTGAAAGCTTTGATGCAACTTGTGCATCATCAGTGTATTTTCCCTACTCTCGAGTAAGGCTATGGATTGCACAGTTGTTAGAACCTGGTTCTTTTCTCGTTTGGCCCGTGACAGTGAAACCGGTATGGGAACCAACAGATTATGTGAAAAATGGATTCTCTTGTACAGTCAGCTTTGGATACCTTGAGTTTTATTGCAGGTCAAGGGTGATTAAATCCTTCATTTGTAAAATTTTGGTCTTTCTTTCCTTCTTCCTCCGTTACAAATTTGCCTTGCTCCTCCCGCAGACCCGAATCTTCAGCCCAACACTGCCGCCAGCGGAGTGGAAGCCTTGAGTCTCAGTCCCACCTGCTGTCTGAGATGGACAATGATAAGCCATTTTTCTCCCTCTCCAAATCCCAAAGAAGCAGTAGTACAGAAATCCTGGATGACGGGTCTTCCTACACCAGCCAATCAAGCACAGAGTATTACTGCGTGACGCCCGTTGCCGGCCCCTATTACACCACCCAGACTCTGGACACTCGTGCCAGGGGCCGGAGAAGGTCCAAGAAACAGAACGTTTCGACTTCAAATTCAGGAAGCATGCCCAACCTAGCACAAAAGGATAGTATGAGGAATGGCGTCTACACAAAGAGTCAGGAGCAACCTTCTTCTAGTTACTATATTGCTGGATACACGCCCTATGCAGAGTGTGATCTGTATTACAGTGGCGGCTACGTCTATGAGAACGACACTGAGGGACAGTACAGTGTCAATCCTTCCTATCGGGCCTCAGCACACTATGGATACGAGCGCCAAAGGGACTATAGCAGGTCCTTTCATGAAGATGAGGTCGACCGGGTGCCCCATAACCCATATGCAACTCTCCGGCTGCCCCGGAAGGCTGCTGCCAAGTCGGAGCACATCACCAAAAACATCCACAAGGCCTTAGTTGCGGAGCACCTGCGTGGCTGGTACCAGCGGGCCTCTGGGCAAAAGGATCAGGGGCACAGCCCACAGACTAGCTTTGACTCAGACAGGGGATCGCAGAGATGCCTGGGGTTTGCTGGGCTGCAAGTACCCTGCTCTCCCAGCAGTCGAACATCCTCCTACTCTTCAGGTAAGAACACTGCGAAAGCACCTGATTCTTGGATCAAATTTACCTCATGTCCCCCAGCCCACCTTCCCCCCCAACCACTCCCCTCAGGGATTATGGGACCAGTACCCAAAGTCGTGACACTAGTAGCCATTCGGTAGGGCCTACACAGTAAGAATTTCCAACTTAAAAACAGCTCTTTCTTTTCAGCTTTCCAGAGAACACAGTTTACACGAGTCCAGTGGAGCAAGTTGTAGATTCAAATCGAACAAACGTTCATGGAGTACCTACTGTATGCTGCCCGTGTGAGGGGCTTTCAAATATTGTGTGTTCTCCACATTTCATAAAAGTGTTTGAGTCACTGATGTTTGATGTATTAAAAAAAAATAGAATCAATCCGTCAGGCAAGCGGAAAACATTAGGATTATACATCCTAACATCCTAATACACCCTGTTCACCACCAGGAACTTGATCATCTAAAGGCAATTTGTTTTGAATGTGCAGGTAGCTATGGGAGGCTCCTAATAGTTCTTCTAGGAGGCAGTATTTAGTAAGCCCTGTTCCTGGCACTGTTCTAAGTGCTTCGCATGCCTTGACTCAACTCAGTAATCATATATACTTCACCTTAGGGTTGATTTCCGGGATTTTCAAAGATAATTTTGGCTAGAGATGTTGCCTCATGCAGTGACTTTTGCCCCTCTGTCCACTAAAATCCATGGAGGACTTACTGCCTGCCCCTAGCTGTGTGACCTACTCTAAGTAGAGAAGTGAAGGGAAAGAGGAGTATCTTTCCCTTGCATTTATGAATGGTTGCATTTATTCAGCAAGCAAGCAGGCATATCCTGGGTGCTGAAGAGCTAGTGTTAACCAGCTTCTGGCCTTGAGAAGCTCAGTCTAGTTAGCAGCCAGAGGAATGTATACAAATTCAGCAATTTTAGAGCTTGGAACTGAATGTGTTCTTGAACTGTGTGGCAACCTGAGGTCACATGTTCTTGCTCCCTCTCTCAGAATAACCCCTTAGTAAGACATAGCACCGGGTTCCTGAATCACTCCACAGTAGTCTGCGAAAACTGTGCCTTTAAAAGTTTCCTAAGCTTGTTGACCAGAGGCATTTCCATGGAGATTTCTGTTTGGGTTTAAGGTCTCTTCTCTCTGTGTAGGACTTTGGACTTCCGTTAGGGCTTTCCCATTTATTACCACACCGAACATACAAAAAGGCTCCTGTCATTATTCCTTGTTATTTATGGCTCAGATCTAGAGAATGCCTTCCTTCCCCTAAGGTTCAGGGAGTTGCACAAAAATCTCTCAGAAAAACATGGGGAGAACATTAGAAAGAAAGAACCAAACAAGGAGGGCTGAGATGCATATGGATGGATGGTCATCAAAGCACCTGCCTTTTTAAACAGTGAGGCTGGAGAACAGTAGGTGTACCTCAGAAACCATGGCATTACTGGAGGGTGGCTCAGTGTCTGGAGCAAAGTTAAGAATGGAGTTAATGCTTAGTGATTTATATCCAGTAAGAACCTGCCTGGGAGCTGTAGGATTTGGCCCCACAGACCAAAAAGCATTACATTTTAAAGAACTAAAGGGTTGGAATTAGAGTTCCTCAAGAAAATTCCCTTTTGGAATCTTCCTCGTTCCTGTCTACATTTTATAGCTACAAGAAATATATTACAACAGGCATTCATCATGGAAAGTTTCCTGTTATATGCCAAAGTAGTCAGGTTTTGTAGTCCCTTCCAGCCATCGAAAGACTCTCTTGGTGACTCAGTTTTATTTATTTATTTTTAAAGATTTTATTTATTTATTCATGAGGGACACAGAGAGAGAGGCAGAGACATAGGCAGAGAGAGAAGCAGGCTCCCTGCAGGGAGCCCTATGTGGGACTCGATCCCAGGACCCCGGGATCACGACCTGAGCTGAAGGCAGATGCTCAACCACTGAGCCACCCAGGCACCCCAATGACTCAGTTTTAGTAGTAATGACAACCACCATCTCCTGGCAGCTTACCCTGGCCACACCACATGCTCAGTGTGTCATGCTCACTCTCCCATTTAATGCACGCAACAGTTCTATATAGTGAGTGCTGTTGTCACGTATGTTATTATCCCCATCTTGCTGTGGAGGCAGTTCTGGTTTAGAGAGTTGAAATGACCCCGCCCAAAGCCCCAAACCTGTTAAGTGCTCAAGTGGGAATTCTCTCCCAGCTCTGACCACAACCACCAAGCCTCATAGCCCCCTGACTCGGAGTTATGAAACGTTCTTGGAAACTCAAAGGGAGAGGATTACATCTTTGAGTCAAAACCTCACAGCATCCAGGGCTACGGATGAGTTTTGCATCTGTAGTACACTGGTCACAAGGGCTTTGTGGGTCTGAGAAAGAAGAGGAGGAAGGTGGCTGCCAGGAGCAGGAAATGGAGCAGAGCTGGGAGGCACCATGAGCGGTGCTGGTGTTGGACCATCAGCTTGACATGGTGGTCACCTTGTATATCCTCGGCATGAAGCAAGACTGGTTTTAGAGAGGACAGCAACGCCCTGGGGTGAGACATTCACTGGGCTTTGCTCCAGATCATTCCCTTGTCTTGTTCCAGTTCAGTAGAACTAATGTCCTTCTGTCCTAATTACTCTCCCTACCCCTTCACCTGCACACTTTTGTTTAAGGTGAAAAGTATGCATTGATCCTGCTAAAAGCTGGTATTGCCTTGAGTCAAGGAACAAGTCATGTCCCAACAGATCAACTTGTGGAGTGCTTTTCCTCCAAAAGCCTCCAGGAAACTCAAACTGGTCATCTTATCTTTACAAATAAAGCCTTATCTATCCAGCCACCATAGCGAGAATGGAGAGATCCTCTCCATATAGAAGAATTTTTTTCCTCCTTGTCTTTGAGATTATTTCTTATAGCATTCCTTTCTTTTTTTTTTTAAGATTTATTTATTTATTCATGAGAGACAGAGAAAGAGAGAGAGAGAGAGAGAGAGGCAGAGACATAGGCAGAGGGAGAAGCAGGCTCTTCACAGGAGCCGGATGCGGGACTCAATCCCAGATCCTGGGATCACAACCTGAGCTGAAGGCAGCCACCCAACCGCTGAGCCACCCAGGCGTCCCATAGCATGCCTTTCAATTAACTTTATTCTCATTAATAATATCATTAGTTCTCATTTTTTGGGGGGTACATATTCTATACCAGGCACAGTGCTAAACATTCTCACATATAACTTGATTTAATCATGGTATCATCCCTATACAGGATATATTTGCATGATTACCCCCACTGTACAGGTGAAGAAACCGGGACTTAAAGAGAATAAACTATTTGCCTAAAGACACGGCCAATAAGTGACTAAATTGAAATAGGAACTCTGTTGATTATAAACATAGGCTCTTGATCTCTGCACGTAGATGATTATAATGTATATCTAAATGGCCTGAACAGTCTTCATTTTGAATAGTCCCACTAATTTTGTCTCTTTCCATTTTTATTTCTAGTATCTTCTACAAATGCTTCTGGGAACTGGAGGACCCAGATAGCTATAGGGCTATCTGAATACGAGACCCCGGCACATTCTTCCTACACCAGCTGCTATGGCAACATCTATAATCCTTTGCCCTCCCCAGGCAGGTGAGAAACCAATGCTCCAAAATTCTGGTAACCTGTTCCTGGTCAAAAGAATTGAGGAATTCTGTTTTACTTTATAATGCACAAGGATCATCAGCCTATAGCCTACAGGCCAAAACCAGCTGCCACTGGTTTTTGTAAATAAAGTTTTATTGGAAAACGGCTGCATTCATTCATGTACATACTACCTCTGGCTGTTTTTGCACTGTGAGTCAGAGTGGAGTTAGTGACAGAGCCTGAGTGGCCAACAAAGCCAAAAATATCTGGCCTTTTAAGAAAAGGTTTCTTGACTCCTAATCTAGATTGTTCCAACTTGATTCTGTTCCTTGTCTTCTGTACATTAAATTCTGTGCCTGAAGGGTTTTTTTAATTGCAGTACTCTAAACTGTATTGCTGATATATCCATTTAAGACTCTTCTGGAACCTTGGAGGAAAAATATCTCTACTCCAGAAAAGGCTGTTCACACCAAAATTCCTCATAAACAGTTGGTGGGCTTGATTTCAAACATTTGCTGCCTTTTTGTGTCTGACCCTGTGTTCACTAAGAAGCTACAGACACAGCCAGCTGTCCTGTTTGTAATCGTGGTCCTTTGTAAACATTTGGAGGAAATACGTAAGAACAATTTGTTAAAATGCGATTTTAAAAAAAGATTGCTAACTCCACATTTCATGTTTTTCACTTGTTTGTATATATAGGAGGAATTAAGTTTGAAGAGGTCATTTCTCCTTATCACTTTACACAGAATATAATTCACACCCATCTTGCTAAGAAATAGAACATTTTCTGTTTGTTTTTATTTAATTTTGCTCTAGGTCAACTCGCTTTGGCCATAGGGAGACTGCCACAGACCATAACTTATAAAAGTGTCTATCCTGATGAATTTGAGAGGTTAATTTCCTTTCTTTTTTTACTTCAATTTTTTATTTCAATTCTAGTTAGTCAGTGTATACAGTAAGATTGGTTTCAGGAGTAGAAACCAGTGATCCATCACTTATATACAACACCCAGTGCTCTTCACAAGTACCCTCCTAAATCCCCGTCACCTACTAGCCCATCCCCCCCACCTTCCTCCATCATTCCTCAGTTTGTTCTCTACAATTAAGAGTTTCTTATGGTTTGCATTTCTCTCTCTCTCTCTCTCTTTTTCCCTTCCCCTATGTTTATCCACTTTGTTTCTTAAGTTCCACACATGAGTGAAATTGTAATTTCTTAATAAAGTACTCTGTAACAAGCGAATTGGAGGTAGTCAACCCCCAAAGTCTTATTTTTCTTCTCCCTGTTCAAGAAGAGTTTTTCTTGGCTTGAACTATTAGGCCAATTGTCTCAACTCAACAAAGGGTGTGCTCAAAATAGAATTTAAGCAAAAATATACCTCAGAGGATTTCAAATAGCTTGGATTTCTGTAAATAATGCTTGCAAATGAGTTAGGAGCGAGAACAAAAGTGCCTTTGGCCCAAAACTAGAGCTGCACTTTTTCAATTCAGGTCTCATCATTTTGTAGAATTCACTTGCAAATAGTTTTCCCGTTTGTATACCTTTTACTTTCTTTTTCGTTGACTGCGTTAGACATGATAGAAAAAGCCCAGCACGTTAGACAGTTTGAAGATCCTTGACACCACTTTCACTGGACTCAGGAAGTACTAAACATTTTTAAAGAAAATCTGTTTTTACCGAGTGTGCCTATCTATTTCAGCCAGCCCAAGACGGCTTGACATGGAGTCTGATGTCAGAGGGGGATAATCCACAGGAAATTAGAGACTATTTAAAGATCCCTATTGTGTATGCTCACATGCACATAATATGAGCTCATTGTGGAAAATTAGGAAAATGATAAAGAGATAAATAAGTAGGAAATCATTTACCCATAATCCCACCATCTAGGGATGGTAGCTATTAGCATTTTGACACATCCTCCCATTTTCCCAAATCCATTTTTAACCTGGTTGTAATGATAACCTTATGTGCAATTTTACATCTTTCATTGTCTAGGAACTTTTGCATCCCAGTTTTTTTTTTTTACTTAATATTGCAACATTAGACATGCTCCCATATTTTTAAAAATACCTTAAGCCTTATTTTATGTGATCAACATGATATTCCACTCAATAAATATACCATACTTTATTCAACAGTTCACATTATTTTGAATTTGAATGGTTTTTAGATTTTCTCCTTTTTTATTGTAATGCTGCTGTTGACCTCTTTGTGCAAAACGTTTGTCTGAATTCCAGATTATTGCCTTAGGTTACATTCCAATAAGTAGAATTAATGGATTAAATTGAAAAGTGTATTTTTTTAAGCCCTTGCTTTCCAGAAAGATTTGCCAAATGACCCTCCCAGCAAGGTACGGGTGTGCTTATTCCCATCTATTAGTCTATTAAGGATTTTTTTCTTTTATTATACCTCAGAGTGATCAATTTAACTTGACCTACTAACAAAGCAAGTATAATAACAGCCATCCATCAAGTTTTAGAAATTTGCTATGAAATTGTGTTATTTTTGATGCAAACATAATTTTCAAAATAAGAGAGAGATTAGGGAAAAAAAGAGAGAGATTAGGTTTCAAAATAAAGATAAAAAGAAAAATTTTAGATCTGCCCTGAAGTTAAAGATTTGAGTATTTTTTTTAAACAAATGAAGTCCCCATTATTTCAAGATCCTTTTCCCCAGAGGGTCTGGCTTTTAATATTTACAGAAAGCTGCACGTTTTTACCAATAAAAATTTGTTTCCAAGTGTGGTGCGGTATAATCATCAGTGGCATAAACTTTCTAAAATTATAAATGCCAAAGTCTCTTATGCTGCTTTGTATATAATATGCTCAGATTCTTGGCTCTGCGCTGCAAACTTTTTTCAAGTAATTTTTTTTCTTTTGTTTCCTGTTTTCCATTTCCCATCCTCTTCCCGATCTAACTCGACCTACACTAGGCAAAACCGAGGGCTTCTGTCCCGGAGAATGGTTGCATCTCCAGAAATGAGATCAGTTTTAAGTGCTCTTTTGCTAAGTGTAGCCAGCGGTAGTAAGTATAGCCCTTCAGACCTGGGTGTTGCATCTTGCATAGTAGCAGCAACTTTGCTTGCTCTGGCTGATGTGTGAAGCTATGGAAATCTGACCTTGTGTTTATATTAGATGAAAACACTAAATACCTGGTTTTGCATACTATTTATTTCCAAAGCTCTCCTTCCAGTGACTTTTTAATCATCTTTACTAAAGAAATTTGAAATAAAAAGAAACCTACTAACTATCTAACCTATTCTAAATGACTCTCGCAGGAACGAGGTTTTGCTTCTTAGAATGGCTTGTGTAATAGAATGCTTTCCTCTGGCTCTCCCCTCCAAATATGCCTATGATTGTTGTATGTGGTGTTGTTTCCAATTTACAATCAACCCATACACCCCAGGGATGTAACATGTGCCCTGAGTGCCCCTGCCTTCCTCTAACTATATTCCTTTGTCCCTTAGGAAAGCATCTAGTATATTCCCTTAATTTGAAGAATACTTAAAATGCGGCTGTCAAAAGTAGACTTTTTTTTTAAGTTCAAAATATGACTCCCACCCAAAGAGAAAATAGGCCTGTGTCAAAGCCTTATTTAACTCATCAATGAGAGAACTAACAGAATGGTAAAGCTGCTTCCAAGAGAATTCAAAAGACTAAATTCAACACACTGAAAGATAAAACGCTGGCATGAGATTATTAAATTAAGATTAAAAACCAGTCAATGGCCTACGGGGCAATAAAGCTATAACCATGATCTTTTTATACTAGAGAGAAGTTATTTGTATTTCTTCCAGACATAAAAAAACCTTCGAGTTAACATGTAACTAACCACAGTCTGGGTCCTGATCAATGATAAATGTGAGTGAGACAAAGGACTGTCTCTCTAGAGAATCCAGTGCACCTTGCATGGACCTTTTTGACAGTGCGCCAGCAGGACAATGAAAGAACACACACACACCATTATCCCTTGACTTGACAGTGCTTTCTACCAATTCTTTGAGTAATCTTTGTACTCCGGTAATAAAAATGACCACAAATAATAACTTCTCTGGTTTCCTTTAATAGACAGTACACAGAGATCAGTCAACTGGACAGTACAGATGGAAGCCGGTTGGAAGAAAGCCTGGAGAGCAGGGAGCAGAGGCTCTTTTGGCATGAAGATTCAAAGCCTGGAACATTAGTCTGAACTGCAGTTGGATCTCTCGACCAAGCACTGCGTTCTCACACTAGTGTGCCTTGCAGAATGTGCTCGTCTTCCCAGAAAGCTGTTCGGGTGTAGAAAGCTAAAGGCATCAAAGGTCGAAGAGAGGACTCAGTTGCCCTGGAAGTGAATCACACGCTGAGGCTGTGCAGAGTCCCTGAACGACTTGCCTTTCAAACTCCGGGCACTAACCCAACAGAGCAAGGTAGAACCGTGGCCGAGAAAGGACTCAGCCTGTATCAACAGCAAGCACTTTTTTTAAGGGACTAAAAGTTTTGAAGGCAAACCACAAAACTGTGACAAGTGCGTTCAGGGTCTCCAGTAGGGAAGAAGGACAGGAAATTTCAGAGCACAATTCGGAATGAAGAGAAAAGGGAGCTCCTTAGACATTGTTCACCTTCAGAAAGTTTGAATTTGTGAGCCAGCGAAGAATAACATGCTATTTCTACGTGCCGTGGACAATTGAGACAGTATTGGAAAATTACTTGAAGAGAGGCTGGATTTTCATGAAGTTCTGGATGAGTGTAAAGGATTTTAGCAGATTATAAAGAGTGATGGTTTTCATAAGCACCGTCAAATGGGTTCTGGAAAGACTTAGTGCCGTAGCATCCTGTAATATAACTTTATGGTAGCAGATTGGGGAACATGAAGCAGCCCACTGAATAATTGACAAACTCTGCTTGGAGAATTTTCTAAGGTACAATATTACTGGGCTCCTTTTTCCTTTGTACACCAATGGTCTGATGGGTTATTATTCGGACTGGTAACTCTCCAATTTGGCTGCCGTTTGAAATGGCAGACCTGATATGGAAAGTTTTTATAATTGAGAGTTTGAAAAAGTATTTTAAGGTAATACAGAAAGAACCCAAAACAAAATGAAATGAAAAAACAAAAGCCACATCATTTTAGATGAATTGCGTGCCTTAAAATGGTGAACATTAGAAAAGGAAGCAAATTGTCCAGATTCCACAGAGGGTTCTAAGTCACCAAATGACAAAAACAAGATTAGTCATTAAAGAGACGAAAGCAAAAAAACTCCAAGCTGCAGTAGATTTAATTATGAGGCTAAAACTACCTCATACTTTACTTGGAAGAACTAATTAGCTATGGTTTATTATAGTGGTTTTTTTTTAAAAAACAAACAAACAAATATTTCCATATTCCAGATTGTTCTTTTGTGTCATCTTCACTCTGCTTCAATATTCCATAAAAGGTGCTCCCTCCCCCCTCCCTTTTATACAGGTTTCGTGTTCATATTGTGAATAGAGAAGTTTCTGAACAACTTTTTTGGAACATTTTCTATCTATATTCCAAAGCATGTAATATATGCATAAAGATGATTTGTTAAACTGGTCCTTAGTCATTTGTATCATTAAATATGAAGTTTGAGGGAAAATTTGGAACAAAAAAGAAGACATGCAAAAAAAGTAACTTATTCCTTTTTGCATATTTGTATAGCCTTCTAGAAACAGAAATACCCTTTTGCATATTCTTTTACTGTTCTGACTTTTTAAGACCTATTATTTTTTTACATAGGTCAATAAACCGAAGGTGTGCTACTGAAAATGTTTACGTGTTCTTCCATTACATTCAGGGTTCATACGAAGCCGTTAAAAGTGCTCTACTTCAAGTGATCATGTCAGACAAGATTGCAGGTTTTTAGTCATAGTATTACCATAGTTTACGGATGCCAAGATGCACATTTTTTTCATATTTACATCTTTGAAATCGGGATGCATCTTTTGATTGATGGCATGCTCTAAATGAATTGGCAGTGTTTTTTTTCTTTCTTAGTGCTGCATAAAATAATGTTGTGTCTTACAATAAAGTTGTCTTAGAACTGATGAAATACGGTAGTTTATTGCCTCATGGAGGATGACAGATGTGAATTTTTAGGCTTCCTAATCTTGCGAATGTTGTTTATTTGTAACGAGTCATTCATCCTAGTTTTGCAGACTGGCAAACAGGTCTTTTAAATTCAAGAGAATGTTTCATCTGACATCTCTTTATCCTGCCCAATGGGGAGAAGGGAATGGGAAATGAAATATAGGAAGAACTTAATATTTCTGTGCAAGTGTCTTAGATGGAAATAACCTTCTTCTGTTCAAGAAAGGTAATGCTCAGAATTACAAGTGCACCTTGAGAGAAGATATGGAACCTGGCTCCCAAATGGCTTAAGAAGGTACAGAAATGGAAGCACAGTGGGCCTGCTGTATAATTTTTTCCCCATATCTTTTTAGGAAAACTGCTTTCAACCACATTTTTGGTATGTTTATTAATAACCAAAATGTGACAGGGGCAAATTGTTCAACATAACCCATTGATCTGTTTCCTACTGTAAGATGTCATATCTTCCTGATAAAAATTTTAAATTAAAAAAAAATTCAAATTCAAACATAAAACAAATAGATAACATAAGAACATAACTGTGCCCTGGGAGCATAACGTAAGCAGATGTAAGATTTATTCATTTATTTTCTGTTAGTTCACATTTTCTTCTATGCACACAGTAATTTTTTTTTTTAATTCAGCATCATATTACAAGTAGTTTACACCTAGGGGTTTTTTTAACTAACATATCTTGGGCCTCTCTGTATCAATATATATTGATCTACCTCATAAAAATGTCTATTTTACAAGGTGGATTTTTTAAATTGCCTCACCTTCCTTGCTGTTCATATTTTTTCTATATTTGAGAAAATTCTACAGAATTCTTTCTTGTACTCCTAAAAGCTTAATGTTACAAGCAATAAAGATTCCAGAACTGTTTCAAACTATTAGTTTGGCCTGTTCTTAGGAACAAGTTTCAGAGTAAAGAGTTTCCTCAAATACTAGTCCTTCAGAGCATTCAGAAGTGGAATAATGACTTTCTTCAGGATGGTAGAAAAGTTTGGGTTATTTTCCAGAGTCGTTCTTTTCGAAGGACCGGTGGGGAAAGACAAATTTTTTAAATTTTCAACTATTTCAACCTCTAGTTTTCTGAAGAGAAATAAAAATGGATTACTAAGCAAAACAAGGTAATTTAAAAAATGAATTTGTAGAGAAGTGGAAAAAAATAAATACAGAAATAGACATTTCTGCTCGTTATTAAGATTCGTTGGGCACAAAATGTTAGAAGCAATCACAGATCGAAAGTTGCAATCACAGATTCTAAACACACTCTTACTTTCTGTACTTACCCCGATTTACTTTCCAGTAACAGTTTCTTAACTCCCCATGTTTTTCTTTGAAGTATAGTTAACATACAGTGTTGTTAGTTTCGGGTGTACAATATATTGATTCTCTGCATGACTCATTGTTCGCCATCAGAGGAGCATCTGGACGACCCTTTGAGCACCACTAACTTGGACTTCTGTCACAGGAGGTTCCCATCCATGCATGGTGATAAGGCAAGTCACTCCTGGTCCCCTGTTACCCCATAAGGCATGGAGATGTAATTCATTTCCAAAGAGAAAAGCCTTGTAACGCATACACAGAGCCCAGAATATGATGTAAAACTTAACTCATCTTTCTGCTCTAACTTCCGACTCAAGCCCCTTATCTCTCCTATTCCTCATGTTTCCCACCCAAGTCCAATCCCCTCCTCTGGATCCTCATAGGACTTTTCTGCCTTCTCTCTACCCCCATCCTTGTGCCACCCCTGGAACAGCAAAAAGAAAAGCATGTCCTGCTGCAAAAATGAGTCGGCATTCCTAGAATTTGAGTTCAGTGTGTGCCGGGCTGGCGTGCTGAAGTGCCAGATGTATACGTGCTACTTTAACCTCTACAGCAGCCCAGGGACTTGATATTATCTCTATGTTACTGAATCTGAGAATTGGGAAGGTCAGGTAATTTGTCAAAAGTCAAGCAGCTTGTGAGAGAAAAGCAGGAAATAGATTTTGATTTGTCCTACACCAAGTCCTACACTACTGCAGCCTTGTTCCAAGAACAATTTCTCTACAGTCAGGATGGCAAACAAGATTTTTTAAAAATATACTCGGGGCGCCTGGGTGGTTCAGTCAGTTAAGTGACTGACTCTTGGTTTCAGCTCAGGTCATGATCTTAGGGTCCTGGAATGGAACCCCCACGTCAGGCTCCCTGCTTAGTGTGGAGTCTGCTTGGGACTCTCTCTCCCTCTACCACTCCCCCTTCACTGGCTCTCTCTCACAAATAAATAAATTTATAAAATATATGTGTGTATGTATTTAAAATAAACACATAAAATTTATGTAAAATATTCACATAAAATATATATGAAAATTGAGTGAATACATGCTAAGCTCAGCTGTTCTTGCTTTTTTGGCAAAAAGAGGCAAAAAAGGCAGAGGCAGCTGTCAGTCTGAATATAGGTGAAGATAACCCTTCTCTGTTTACTATCTAACCTTGCAGCCTGGTAGGCAGCCTGCATTATTTATTGCTATGTGAGCTCATCAGTGGGCCAAGTACATTTGTTAAATTCTTTTCAAATCAATAAAATGTCTTACACCGGTGAATATACTTGTTACAATCACAGATAACTGTAATGAGCTAAATATTGATCAATAGCACTGAAAATACCTATCGATCTTTCTGATGGTTCAGGGCGGTATGATAATGTGAAGCTATATGCTCTTCTATCATGACCCTGAGGAGTCCTCTCAGAATTGACGTCTATCAGATGTATGTGTCTCTGGACTTTCACTCTTGAGTCTCTTTGGAAAGAATGAACCTGGGATTTATCTCCTATTAGATAGAATTTGAGCCCAGTGCCAAAAAATCCTTCTAATATTTCCAACCTCTTCTACTTTTGATGCTTCACTATCTCCCCTACAAAAGAAAATAGGAAATATGCACCAAGATTTGTTTTGGCAATACTTAGCTGATTCTTTTTTTTTTCCAGTACTTTATTTGTAAATTAGACTTTTTTTCTTTTTTTTCTTTTTTAATTTAAATTCAATTAGTTACCATATAATTATTAGTTTCAGAGCTCAAGTTCAGTGATTCATCAGCCTTATATAACATCCAGTGCTCATTCCATCACGTGTCCTCCTTAATGCCCATCACCCAGTTAGCACATCCCCCACCCATCTCCCCTCTAGCCACCCTCTGTTTCCTGTGTCTCTCTCTCTGATTTTGTATTGTTTTACTTTTCCCTCTCTTCCCCTACTTAGCTGGTTCTTAATGTTAACATACACACAAACATGTTTTCTCTCTTTTCTTTTGCATTTGATTATTAGCAGTCTTGACAAGCATGGTGTATCAGGACCAAAGGAAATGGGGGTGGGAGTGGATCTAACTGCTGAGTTTTTGGATAATTATATCATCTTAAATGCTTGTTACACTTAAGGAGTGTCCCAGGTTTTAAAAGTTCCATGATTTTCAACCAGAGTTGTACCACCTGTTATGGGGCATTTGGAAATGTGTTGCTGTATATTAGAATCCCCCAGTGATTTGGAAATACTACTGGCATTTAGGGACCAGGGACTGTAAATAGCTACAAGGCAAGGGATGGTCCCACACAACAAATAGTTGTTCTATCCAAACTGCCTAAAGTGACCCTACTGAGAAACCCTTTTCGACTTACCTAGGAAAATGTGTTAAATCTACTTCTATGGGTACTGTGTTCCAGTGTTTAAAGCAGAGATTCCTCAATTTTGAAGGGAAGGAAGGGGGAAAGTAAAGGAGATGATTGTTTCCTGAGGATGGGGGAGAGGTTGTATGTGATTTGAAAAGGCACACATCCAACAAATATGAGAACACCAACTATGAGTCAGTCTCTGTTCCAGGCAGTGAGGATAGAATGTTTTCCTGAAGCTGCCCATCCAATCAATGAGGGAAAAACAGAAGTGACTAATGTGAATAACTTAGAATCATCATTAGTCTTATGAAAGCCAAGTGTTGTGAGAAAAAAGAAAGGATGTAGATAATACCCTAGGTTGGTGGGACACAATGGGGCCTTTTGAGGCTGTGCCCAGGCTTGGGGGTTGGTAAAAGAAAATTCAGTTAATCAAGAAGGAAAAGAAGCTCTCCCGGGGTTAAGAGAAGGTCACAAAGGGGGCAATGGGTAGCTCAATCAGATCAGGTCTGACTCTAGATTTAGGCTTAGGTCATGATCTCAGGGTCCTGAGATCAAGCCCCACATGGAATCTGCACTGGGCATGGAACCTGATTATGACTCTCCTTCTTTCTCTCTCTCTCTCCCTCTGCCCTTCCCCACCTCAAAAAAAAAAAAAAAAAAGGAGAGAGAGAGAGAATGTTACAGTGGCATTCACCAAAGCCCTAAAGCTAATGGAGTTTAGCCAGTTTCAGAAACTAAAAGATAGGAAGACATATTATTCTGAGATTGAAGAAATACAGGTAATCAGAAAGAAAGCTACCTGGCTGGGTGCCTGGG